TATGTTTTGTTGGTTAATGAGGCAAACAAGTGAAGGTTGATTGAGACAAGATGAGTTTCACTAATGGGCTCAGTCTATTGGTATCATGAAATTGAGCTTTTAGAGTTTCTGTTAATGAACTCTTCAATTTTTATCCGACTTTTGTTTTCTTTTTTGCCCAACGGAAAATTTAATTACGAACTCATTCAATTCACAATTTAAGAACTTGTTTCGATTTTCTGATACTTTAAGTGACTTATGAATCCATGAGTTTTCAGTGAAATTTCATTTCACTTTTCAATGTTTTATTAAATCTTTCAACTATAGCACATTTTACATCTCTATTGGTTCAATGGAAACGAATACGAATTTTCGTTGCAATTTTATTTCTCCTCTTTTCTCTCTGTCTTAAGTCATGAATATAATCTATCAACTTGAAGAGCATGATGACTTTAGCATGATGATGACAGAAAATTTCATTGTTGATGATAAATATACAGAGCAAAGGAATGTAATCTGAGCAGTGATAAGATTGACAAATGAGATTTTTCGCAATTGATTATTCTTATCATTGTAGTCTTCTTATCATGTTGGACTATTTTTCCTTTGCTATTTTTCATCATCATCATTATCTTCGTCTCGGTCTTCTTTGTCATCTAATTTTCTTGTTTTCTGTTACCTTTTCTTTTCCTCTTTATCTTCTTTCTTTTCCCTTTTACCGTTACTTTTTCGTTGCAATCGTTAGCTTATCTCGAGTAGCTTTGAGCTTGTTGATCAATAAGATTATTGATCAATTTTATTTTCACTTATCAAGACAAACTCAAGAATTAATCAAGCAAAAATAAAGATTAAAACTTTGCACTAATTGAAACATCAAGGTTTGATCGTTGAACATTTCAAAGCTAAATGGTTCATTAAAAAGTTAATCAATTTGCCGTTAAATTCAATCAAGAAACTAGAATTGCATAAGAATTTGTTTCTCAACAAAAGATTAATCTGTACCTTTAAGCTCAACTTTTAACCTTCATTGAATCGGTAAAGTAAAAAGGTTTAACTTTCGACGTTTAAACTGATTACTGTAAAAGTTACTCTCGACTCAAAAGTCTTTACATTTGGCTTGTTTTGCATTATTTTTGTGACAAGAAACTGTTCCAACTTTTCTTCTGTTCTTTCGACGACTCATTTCATCTATTAAACAGACATTTCTTGCAATGGACTCGATGAAAATTCAACATCAACCTCTGACAGTATCTTGACCTAAGGATATCTTAAACTTGATAACATTTTGGTTCCTGATTTGAAGGCATTACCATTGGATATCATTAATAAATGAAGGAAATCAAAAGAAACATTTCCATCAGCTAATAGAGTTAACTCGATGACTTAAGTTGATTTGGTTCTAATGTTGTTTGGTCCAATATCAGATATCATTAGAGAAAAAATGTTTCCCTGGAATTTGATACAAAATTTTCTTTGTTGACCTTGATTATCTCGATGGTTTTCCGCCTTTTTTTTCTCAAATCAAATTTCGAATCATGGAAGTGGACAAAAGTTGCCGAGTTAAAGGTTTTGCATCAAAAATGAAATCAGAACTTGCAAGACATTTAATCAAGTTTCAAGCAAAAATTAGTGTTGCACAATTTTTTTGAACTGATTAGTGGTTAAATGAGGCAGTTCATGGGTTCGCAAAAAGTTCATTACGAGGTGATAAAAATACTTCAAGATAATTATAATCTGTTTAAAACTGGATAAGCTTTAAAGAGAAGCGTCCATCGGGTAAAGTAAATCTAAACTTTAATGACAATCAATGAAGATTTTGATTAATTGTCTTTAAAGGAACAATTAATTTTGACTTGCTTCTTTCCATGTGAGAAAACCCTGAAAAAGCCAATTTAGCCAAAAATAAAATGAACTCAACTGGGTAAGAAATAAGCTAAGCGAGTGATTTCACCCAATCTTTGCTTTCTGTTGGACACTAGAAGCCTTTCAATGAAAGCATCGTAAATACCGAGTCCCAGTTGCATGAGACATGAGGCTCTCAAGGGTTTCGATTTAAACAATTTTCATGATTTCAATTTGATTAAGTGTTTTAATTTTATAATTATCACCATAAATTACTGTCAAAAGTCTATCAGTTGAGACCCTGACCTTTCCATTTCATAGCAGTCTAGAAAAATAGAATCGAGTTTGCCTTCTGTATATTTTCTCTGATTTCGACATCCCATGGGTACATTCACGTGAAATTGAGTAAACAATTGACCATGAAAACTTATCAGCTTACCAGGCAATGAAACAATCCATCGCTCTCAATTGATTTTCAATCACTATCAGAGTGAATTTTGCATTAACAGTTCGATGCTGATAAACCAAAACTTTGTTGAGCCAAACACAACGTTGAACACAGTTTTGCTGACTTCAAAATAATGAACCGCAACGAAACAATAAATTTCACTGCTAATTTCATTCATTTCACCAGAACGGATAGCACATGAACCAATTGTTAGATATGTTTCTCTTAGACCGAAGATTTTTTCATTTTAAGCATGTTTGCAGCCATGACTCACGAACGATTGATGCTACAAACTTCAGACTGGAACCATGAGCTGCAGAGAGTGAAAAAACATAAGTTCGAAGGCTCAAGATCATTTAAGGTCAATCCGTTATTTGGCCTCTAATTAACTTTTAGAGGTAACTTTCTGAACGTCACAGAAACAGCCACAGCCTTTTACCAGTATGAGTTATGAAGATTTTACAAACAGCGATGACTGTGGAAAGTTTTACTATCAGAAAATGACCTTCAAATGTCGATAAGAGGTCAAATAACGTATTGAACTTGAATGCCCTTGCAACATATGGTCTAAGCCTGATGTCTGTAGCATCAACCGTTGCTGATTCATGGCTGCAAACGGGCTTAAAATAAAAAAATGCCCCGTTAATTCTGTTATCCTGGACAGCTACATTTATGACCCATCGTAAGTTCTTTTGCAGGGAGTTGCAACCATATGTATACCTTAAGTCAGCAATATTTACTAGAGTGTTAAGAATATGCAGTCTTTCCAGGTTTAGACAAAATTCTGCACTTTCGGATGCAAACTTCTGTAGGGTTCCTTTTTATATTCACAATTATGTTGATCTGAGATGCTAAAATTTGAAGGATATGAAATGTAAGCTACCATCTCATAATCGTTCTTTAGCTCCTAGAGTGGCTCAGTACGATAAAACTTAGATAATTCCTTTCAGTGATTCTTGATTGCAGATCAAAGCAACGATATCTTCTAGTATCACTTTACTTTTCAACTCCTGAGTTAGCTCGAGAGTGATTAAATTTGGAAATAATATGTTTGAAAGAGTTCCATCAATGAATCTTGCTCCTTGGTAATGAACAGAATCAAGTGCATTATCAGGCAGACCTTTCAGCAAGGACATTCAAGTCCATTCAATTATTTGACCTCGAATTGACTTTTGAATGTCGTTTTCTGAAAGTGCCAACTTTTCAAATTGATTTGTGTTTGTAACATGTTGATAACTCATACCGTTATGCAGATAAACGTATTTCAAGCAAATTGCATTTGTTAAATAGTGCAAAAAGATTCATATCTTTTTACCAACATGAGTTATCAAAATGTAATGGACATCAACCAATTTAAAAAATGGAACTTTCAGAGAAAGTCAATTAGAGGTCAAATAATTGAATGACCTTGAATGTCCTTGAGGCTCTCGATTTATTGTTCTTCCATTTCGCGAACTCTGCTTACTGAATATCATCAAGATCTAACTTTTGGTTCAAAATCTATTCGCACAAACGACAGTCAAGGATAAAATATCAAGCACACCGTTGGTTGCTGAAATGCTAAGATGTGGTTGGCTCGTATTAGTGTTAGTACAACTAGAATGTACTAGAAAATCTCAACTTTCTTTCCGATCTCGGATTCCACATGCGTTTTATAGTACCATAAACTTACAAACAATTTACAATACTTGACCTTTACGAAATATACGATTAAAATTTATAAACAAATCCGTTAATCAGGCTCGCAATTTCATTTCGATCAAATTGTTCCATCTAATCAACCATAATACACATTGACCAAACACAAAATTGATAATCGAACAATTCCAATAACAATTATCTAATTGAATCGGTAGTCAATGTTAATCAAAAGCAATCAAGCTCCACCAATAAACGAACAATAACGCGATAATAGCACTTAACTGAATGGTCAATCAGTAAATTGAAAGGCTGAAATGCGCAAAGCATAATTTTAGGTTAAGGTCAAGTGTTGAATTGACATTGAGCTTGATCAACTGATTGAAAAGCAAAAATTGATAAAAAATCAATCTTTTCATGAAAACTAATTACCTTTCAATGATAACACTTGAAACTTTAATTCTCGCCTTTTCTTTACTCAACTTTACAACAACAATAATCTCACCAATTTGCTTCTCCATGAAAAAAAGGCATTATTATAGTTGATTATTTCATCTACAGAAAAAAATGTAATTACGTATTATCATAACGGTAAATAATAATAAAGGTATAAAAAGGATTAAACTATTCTTTTTTTCTCTCTCTTCTATTGCCACTTTGGTAGCTTTATTAACTTATTACAAGTTTAATAATCACAGATTGAATGGATTGGTGGCAGCAAAAAAGGACTCAAAACTGTTGTCTGACTTATTATTGAAACTCAGTGAACCTTTGCAAACAAGATCAACTCAATTAAATGAAAATTGCAATTAATTTTGTCTTGCAATTTACTCCTATTTTAGTTATTAATACATTTATGTTCAACTTGGTCATTTAATAGTTGATCCTGGTCATTATATTGAGTATCAATATAACAAAAGTGAAAAGCGAAAGGTTCAATGTTGGAAATGTATCGAGAAGGGAAAAGTTTGTAAACCAAAAATTGATCAATTGATGACAATATCCGGGTAATTTTGCGCTTCCTCGATTAGCTCCTTCATGGAACAAGGTAAGAAGCCAGATTGGTCAACTGTTAACGAATGGATTTACTTACCTAATACGAAACCATCTTTAGCCCATTGAACTGGACCAGCTTGATTACCAACTGAACATTGAAGTACAATTGATGAACCTTCGATTACTTCTACATTGGAACGAGGTCGAACGCGAAAATATTGTTGCTGTGAATGATATTGATTTGTTGATGAAACTGTAGGAAAGAAAAGAGCAAAAATTTGAGGAAATTAGTTTTTCTTTTTTTTCTATTTCATTTTACTCATGAATGATTTCATGGAGTAGAGATTATTTCTTCAATATTTCAATGTATTTAATGTTTGAAGAGAAGAAAATAAAGATAAATTATATTGATTGGACAAAATTGGATATAATTTTCATTCCCTTTCATATCTTTTGTAGTTCAGTTTAAATAATTTGGAAAATTCATTTTCATTTTAAAGTGAAAATTTTGAGATTAATAGCCGATAAGGTTCACAAAATTCGGGGAAAAATTAGTTCAAAGTTCAACTAACTTCGTTTACTCAAAGTTTACATGCTTCATCAGGTTATTTTGCATTATTATTTTGACAAGAAATGATTATTTTGATGAGTAAAGATTTGAACCAGATAAAAATTTGACTGGTTTGTCTCATCAGGCAAAGTTGACTCAATCGGTCGACAAAGTTTATTTCCAGTTAAACAAAAAAGTTTGATAAAATTGAACAATTGCAAAGCCGGTCACTTTGAGCTGATCTTCTTTCTCAAGGATTTGCAAGCACATCTAGCAAGAGTGTCGAGCAGGAGTAGTTCTGTGAGATTTCAGCAAGTTTTCGAGTTTTTTTCATGTAGATTGATTGTATCCTACTCAGCATTTATTGGAGAGTTGGAGGGTCGACTTGTAAGCTTAAGCTCAATAGATTCACTCTAGTTCGCTTGACTGATGCAAGTTGAAACATTGAGTTGGTTTAACTTGAAAACAACTTTAACTTATCAATTGAATGGTGAAAATGTGTTTAAGATTCAATAAAATTTATTTGAAATCAATTCAAAATGAACATTTACTCATCAATCCAATTGAACGCTAGAATAAAGATTACTGTCAGATGAAGGAAGAAGTCGCCTTTCAAAGGTTGATAAAAAGGTTTACATGAAAAACTTTTGCATTTCATCTCAATTTCAATAAAGATTTAAGGAAACAATTCTCAAGAGTAAAATGAAAATGATTGAATCATTTTTTGCTTCTTTTTTTCAATCTTCGATAAATGCGTTGTTTTTGTTTTCCTCTCTGTTTATGGGAATAAATCAGTGCTTCATGAGAATGATGATCATGAAGATGATGAGCAGAAAATTGTTTATCCAAATAATAGATTCAACTTTTCTTCTCTTTTCCTCTCTTACTAACGGTTAACAGAGAGAGAAAAAAAGAAAGTGAGAAAAATTGCTTCTTCTCGAGTCTCATTTTTTTTGGCTGCTCGATACTTGTTCTGACAATGTTCATCTTTTAGTTTTCCAATTGATGGTTGAGCTTGAATTTCACAGGGTAAAGAGAAGGCTAAATCAGCATTAAAAAGTTCAGTCAACAATAACATGTTTGAAAGACACAGAAACACACACACACACAACACACAAAAAAAGCTTAACCCTCAACATTGACTTAAGAAGATCAATTTTTATTCAATTTAGCTTTTTGTTTTCACTTTTCACTCAGTTATCATTTTCCCTTCATCATCATTGTTCACCTTTATCATGTGTTGAAGGATAATCACAATCAAATATTTACTTTCAACGAAACGTCAAAATAAATCAAATTATTGAGTCACTTTTAGTTTCCACTCGATTCTCTTTTCATTTCCAATTTCACCGAAGAAGCAGAAAAAATCTACAAAAGATATTGTACTAAAAGGATTTAGAAAAGGTAAAGCATGAAAAATATATTTTTCAACTTATCAGGTTTCATTTCAAATTGCAAAACAATTTGCAATTCACTTTGAATAAAATTTGTCTAATTTGCTCAATAACTGTTTCCAAACAAACCTCTAAATCGAAGAATGAAGAAGAAAGGAAAAAAAGTTCAAGTTTTCAGGTCAAGTGGTTAAGGTAGAGGTTGAATCATGAACCAGTGTTGCACCAAATGTGCCAACATTGAATTTCCATTCTATTCATCTTTAAATATTCTCATCATTTTCATCTTTGTTCATTCGCATTCATTTGCAACCTTTTGAGATATGCAAAAATGAGGTAAAATGTTATAAATGCAAAAGTGTGTTGAGCAAAAAATGGAAAAAAGTGAAAGATTTTTTCTTCTTCTTCTTTTACCTAAAAGGTAATTTAAATGAAATGCAAATAGTTTGGGAATTTACTGGATAACATAGAGACTGTGATCATGTTGACTTGTTTATGCATGTTAGTGCCAAGTAAGAATGGCGAGTTTAAATTACGAAGAAGAAGGTAAAATGAAGGGAATGTGGATCAAACTATTGGAAAGGTTTTCTTGTAAAGCAAACAAGCGTCAGTAACTAACGATTAAATGGACCTGAGTTTATGTTAGAAACAAAAATAACCATTAAAGTGACCATTGGAATCACTTAAGTTAGGTCATAAAATGTCAACATTACATTATTTTTAGGTAATCCATAAATAAGAAGAGAATGATGAGAATGAGGAAGAGAGAGAGAAAAGTTACCGTTACATTTTTCTTCTTCTTCTTTGCTTCTCTCAATTTGTAATCTAATTCGTTACAATTGGTCTTTTTAGCACCAGTCACATTAGTTTATTTATTATGTCAATTGACACTGTAAACTATTGGTACTACATGATACAAGAAGCAAGAAAAGTTGCCTTTTTTCAGCCTTCAAAGTTTCTTCAACTTTTTTACTCTCTGGGAGTTTTTGTTACTCTTTTTGGTGTTAATGTTGGTACAGTAAAATGCAAATAAATGGTATCATTTGCAATGACAAACAATCAAATGAAAGTCACAGGGAAAATGGTTTAACCTGACGATTATGTTGCTTGTTTTCTTGTTTGCTCTTTTTTGTGAGCTTCTGATATTCAATCAGTGAAATGCTTTGCCTATTATTATTAGTTTCTTCTTTTCCTTTTGCTTCTTCTTCTCTTCTTCTTCTGGTCTTTTCCTTGCTAAAAGTTCTGTAAGCTGAGATTGGTTGATATTACTTTTCAGTAAGTAGCTAACATTAAGAGAGGAGACAACATTTATCACGAAACAGTAAACAATTCAACATAGGGAATGGTTTGTTATCGAGTTTCCAATCAAATGGTTTTCTCTCTTAATTAATCAACGATTCATTTGTTTAACATGAAAAATGAACTTTACCAGAGAAACAGTCAAAAAAGTTTGATTGAAAAAATTGACTGAAAGTAAAAGAGTCACATGAAATGGTTAAATCAAAGGTTAAACTCGACCGACACTGAAGCAACTTGTAGGTTGAAGTAATGTAAACAAAGAGCCTCTTTACAATGTAATTTGTCATGAGAGTCGATATTCATTTGTTGAAAAGGACAGATAATAATTGAATCGTTCAATTGGTAAACAGGACGTTGATTTGATCAAATCAGTGTTAACAAGTTAAGAAAGTTGATAATTGATCGACTGCAAATTACCAACAAGAGGTGAATTAGACTCGAAGCTTGACCGACAATGAAGCATCTCTTAGGATGCAAAATGTAAACAAAGAGACTCTACACTTGGTTATCGAAGCATCAATTTTTGGTTAAAAAGTGAGTTAAGCGATTATTGAAATTTATTTAGTTTTAAAAGTCATCAATTATTCCAAATTGTTGTAATCAGTGTTAATTTGTTTACAATGAAAAAGCGCTCAATCTTTGGTTAACTGTAAACTGTTCAATAATGGTTATACAATATGGATTGGTTAATTTATTCATGCTTTTTGTAAATGTAAACCTTTAATCATTGATAAACATTCAATCTTACAAATCTTGAAACTAAATGATCAATGAAAATTAATGTTCAATAAATGGCAATTAAGTGAAAGTTAGAGCAAAACGTTGAACCATTAATGTTCCACTTTCAAGATTAACAGGCAAATGAACAACAAAAGTGCTCAAAAAAAATATTTATGCACATTATTATAAGGTAAACATTATTACTATTTATTTTGTTACTTTGGTTAAAATGTTTACCAGAATTATGATTGCAGAATTTGAAGAGAGAGAGAGAAAAGAAACATTAAGATGAATTTTTCCATCTTTATCATGGTGTTGTTGTTCATGTTATTATTCAACGATAACGATACAGAGAAATGGAAGGAAGAGAGGAAAAAAAAGAGAGAAGCAAAAAAATCCTAATTGCTATCGATATTTACTGAATACTTTATCAAGTTTCACTCAGTCACTTGCAACAAGAAATATCAACTCGGAAAGAAAGCAAATAAGACTTGAAATAGTGTAAATAACAAGTTCACTTTAACCCAAAAAAAGAGCAAAAGAAGAAGATGAAGAAGAAGAAAAAGAGATACAAAGAAGAGTTATCTATGGGTTAACTAATAGAGCGGAAGCAAGAGCAGGAGAAGATGAAGATGGAGAGAAACTCTGAAATGTTCCAAGTTGAGGAAGGAAAAGATGGATAAACTCATGGAGAGTCTAAAGAGAGGAGCAAAAATGTTTGGATAATATTGTTATTGGAAACAATAAGTTGACCAAATTGTATCAACTTTTAAATTAATTTTATTTCTCATCATTGTTGTCATTTTCAGTTGAGTTGTTCATTAAAACGGCTATTTTTGTTCTTCCTTCATCTTCCTCATCTTTCTCATTCTGATCTTTTCTTCTTTTCTGGTTAACCTCAGTTCTTGTTCAACAGCAATTTTAAAGCTTAAACCTTTCACTTTAAACCTTGCACATTATCAAAGCTTGGAAATTCTTGGACTGGATAAAATGATAAACTTTTCAGGATTCTTGTTAGATGCTTTTCAAATAACATGAAACTCGAACAAAAAATTTTCTTCTTTTCTAATCAATTTCTAATCAATTTTCAGTCGTTACTTTTTCACTGTCAATTACGTTTCAATTTTTCGCCTCAACTTTTATTCACTTTTTCAAATTCAGATTCTAAATTCTAAATTTTCTTGGGAAATTTAGTTGCAATTCTTGTTCCAATTCAGATGGGTTTAGATTATTTAGTTGGATAGGAATTTTCTGTTCCATTTTTGCCAAATTCAATTGTTTTCAATGTTTTGT